AAAGTACTACCATCAACACCAACAGTACCCAACAGTACCAAAAGTACTACAATTTCGAGAAACGCAACAATACACAAGATAATAGTGAAATGGCGGGGAGACCACGTGCTCCGCTCCGATGCAGGTTAGCGATAGTATTTTTTCTCCCTCGCCGCTACGCGCAGCATGGATTGGGGGTAGGGGTGGGCTTAAATAGATGGCTGGGACACACGAGCAGCAGCTACCGCATCTCCTGCAACTTCCTCCAATTTATTTGCTCGTGAGTCCCAGGAATATAGTTTAGATCCCCATCCGCGCTTCGCAGGGGATAGGCTCGGCTGTGAGTTTAATCGGAAGAATACTATCGCTAATATTCGTCGGAGCGCGTGGTCTCCCCGCCATCTCAATATTATCGTCTGTAATGTTGCGTGTCTCGAAATTGTTAGTGGTCGCTAGTATCGTCTGCAGAAACGCTCGAAATTGTCAACGGTCGCTATTTTCGTCTGCTACTATCGTCTGCAGTGTTGTGTGTTGTGACTTGTCAACCAATCCTAGTTTTGCCGCGATGTATTCGTCGGAGGAAGTTCGCATTTTACACACGACTGAGGTCCTGTTAGGGTTTTTGTTTGGCGGCATAATATGGGGTAGAAGTTCGAAGGACAGCCGAGAGATCTATTTCCAATTCCACTGTATTAGAAAGGTCTATTTCCAGTTCCACCTTATGAGAAATGTCCATTTCCAATTCTACAGCATTGAGAAGTCTATTTCCGACTCCACTGTATGAGAAAGTTCTGATTCCATTGTGTGAGAAATGTCTATTCCAATTCTACAGCATTAAAAAGTCTATTTCCGACTCCACTGTATGAGAAAGTTCTGATTCCATTGTGTGAGAAATGTCTATTTCCAATTCTACAGCATTAAAAAGTCTATTTTCGACTCCACTGTATGAGAACGTTCTGATTCCATTGTGTGAGAAAGGTATATTTCCAATTCCACTGTATGAGAAAGGTATATTTCCAACTTCACTGTACGAGAAAGGTCTATAGGTTAGTCCTATCATGGTGGTGTGTATGAAATGATTGATTAAGTCTCATAATGATTCTAGCCGTCATGTGCCATAGTGCGGTCCGATTGGTGAAGTTTGGGTTGGTGGATAGGCTCTGGTGTACGTAAGTAACCGATCCTCAGAACACCGAACTCAAGTGCTCTTCCTTGAATGCTGTTCCGGGCTGATGCAGCTGAAACTCTCAGGCTTCGAAACTCAATCCAATGTGACAGTATATAGACAGATAGGTCTGTTTCATTTTCTTCCCACTCCAAGGTTTATAAACTCTCTAGGGACTATCAGAAATCTTGTATACTTGACATTCATACATCCCAGTGTTCTGCTCAGCAAAAAGCCACCTGGATGGTTTGTCACAAGCTTGTATACCTGACATATTCTCACAGGTTTTGTTTTTTTTTCAAAACAATAATTCACCCTTTCATAACTTCTTCATGTGCCTCATATATACCCGTCTGACCACCTTTTGCCTGTCCCATTCTAGTTTTATCCTGAGGTTTTCTGCTTCCACCAATGGGGATTAAATATCTGTAGAATGGGTGTTTCCTACTCTGGTGTTGATGCAGACTTTCACCTATTACAGTGGGCAAAACATGGTGTCTACAATACAACCCTGGGCTTTGTGATAATGGAGAGGAAGAACTTCATACACGACCATAACTGGTCTTGGTAAATTGTTCTTCGTGTTAGCAGGTCTTGCTTGTCTCACTCACCATTGCCATGGGTTGTGATTTCCAAACCAATCTGCAGAAAATATAACACTATCATCCCAAAAAGGGAAAAGATGCTAACCAACCATTGTGGCTACATCAGACCTATCTTGGTGTACCCTGCTGTCTTAGATGGGTAGGGATTAAAGCATGTTTCAAGATGATTGAATGAAGTTCAACCCCAGAGGACTGCACAACGTGCGATAAACACCTCATGACACAAAGTGCCACCATTCAGATGAGAATCACCAGGGCAAAAGTTCAAGAAACCTGATCAACCATTAGGTTTTATTAGAGCCCCTGAATACAGACAGAGAGAGGCTTTAAAATAAAAATAAAAACTGCATCTCATATAAGGATGGTTTTTATGTTTCAAGCTGCCAGTTCTGCTGAAGATTCACCTGTGTATGTGACAGACACAAGTCAAACATGAAGACAGCATGTGGAGTTACATTTTATTGTAATGTATATGTTCTTAACACCACTGAATGGTTAATCTGTTTGAGCACTTGTTTCTTCACACTGCAGTAACTGTTGGTCATCTTCACAGTACACACATTTGAATACATGCATAAATATGACAGCATTATTATGCTTCGGGGTTGTAGTGAAGGCACAAAATCAAAATATGGGTTACAACAACACTCATTCTCCTTCTTTAATAAATAATTAAATTTAAAAAATGTAATTATTTTATTAATTGTTAAAAGATATTACAAGGATCCTGGGTTGTACAAGAGACACCCTGATTGTGTGCATGCGATACATCCTTGCATTACCGACTATTGCAGATAGTCTAAAGGTGCTGAATGCTAAGTCATACCTCAGAGTAGCTGCAGATAAAGAACACACTTTGTATGAAGCTTTGGCTGCAGGCAAGGGTCAGGGGCAGAAAAGGGGGAAATCATCGATGGCTCAAGCAGAAGAAACAATAAGACGAGAATACATGCTGGGGAACATTGGGGGAGGAGAGGAGTGGGTCAGACAACAAGCGGAAAAGTATGACCTGCATAGGGTTATGATAACATTGATCCGGGTGTGCAGAGAGTGGCCAGCGGGTGCTACAGAGGTTGAAGTCCAGCAGTTGATTCACGACAATTCACGCCCAGGTGATCTGATTATCTATACAGATGGTTCAGTGTGGAGAGGAAAGAGAAGTGCCTGGGAGTTCGTAGCGAAAGCCAATGAAAAATCATTAGTGCAAGACGGTGTAGCATATGACACCCCAACACCTAGCATGAGAATAGAGGTGGAGGGTGTAACTGCAGCTCTCCGGTGGCTAGAGAACAAGATGCATACACATGTCATAATTGTAACAGACTTCTGGTCAAAATGGACGCTAGGCTGTTTGGAGCCGAGGCAAATTTTTTGCTTCTGCCGGACGGCGGCCGATGCAGTTTTGCTCCATTTGTAGACTGGATATAGTTTCCTCGCCCAGCTTCTGAGTTGAATGCATGGCGTGACACTGTAAGATGCGGATTTCATTTATAATGTTTTTTCGACGGTGGTGGTGGTGTGAATTGTAGAATCAGAAAATGGCGCGATTCCTGTCGTCGCAATGTTGGTGGTGCCCGTATGTGATTAAAATTTATCGCGTGGGCAACTGCTGATCTGTTGGTGACTTCCAATACCTTCCGTGGTGAACTGCATTTCTCATTTCGGACTGTCTGTGATGGTTACCGTAGGCTGTAATGCAAGTGAATGCTAGATATGCTGAAACAGCAGTCTGTCAATCTTTCCACAAGGGACTGTGATAAACATTCTGTGTGTTTTTCGTTGGCACAGGAGCGGAGCGAAGATGGGGTGACCTGTTTACTACGAAGCTGAAACTAAGACTAGACAAGACCAGATGTAACAGACTCTGAAAGCATGCTAAAAATGTTGAACACAGGTATGCTTCGAGCAGAGTGGCTAGCTTCACTGGAAAGGTCACGGGTGGTGAGCATACTTTGAATCTTTTCTCCAGGCCATGCCAGCGTTTTGGGTAATGAAGAGGCAGACAGATTGGCTGGATCTGCACCACTGGGTGGTGAATTGATACATGAAAAGGCAGATGTGGTCAAGGCCCTATAGGAACAAGCAATGGAATCAGTAGAGAAAGAAGATTATTATGTCCTGGAGAGAATGAGGCACCTGGGTGTAACCAGAGGGTCTGGCCGGCTCACTACACCCAAAGGAAAGGCAAGAGGAACATTTAACCAGATTGTGACCTTTACCCTCAGTATTAAACTCTGTGCTGGCTGCTGAAGATGAGGACAGAGCATGCATGGGAATGCCCCGAGTGCTGTGATGTCAATTCTCAACTCAACTCATTACAAGGATATGCATGAAACTAACAGGGCATGTAAAATACCTTAAAATATAAAACAGACTACTCCAAGAAGAATATTTTCAAACATTTCTAAATGAAAATCTGAATGTATATTTTCTCATATTACAGGGAACTTTGATAGGTAACTGGATTGTAAATTTGCTAAACGAATCAGTGGCATGAGTTAAATCCACAGTTCTGCAAATATTACTTTCCTTTCTTTTTTTATGGCTAATAATCTTTAATACCACAGCTTATTAAGTGCAAACACCTGTCATATCCCACCTCAGACTCCGACGAACGTACCTGTCAAGGAATTACTGTTATGCTGAACAGTTTTAAACAGCTGAGGTGTATGAAATAAGTAAAACCAACAGGTTTTATGTCAATGGTTTTTCAGTTAGATAAAACTCGAGGTCTAATCTAGCTAGTAGGTCTTATCTATCTAGTAGGTCTAATCTAGCTAGTAGGTCTTATCTATCTAGTAGGTCTAATCTAGCTAGTCAGACACCACAGACCAAAGTCCTCTAGGCTTTGTGTTCACAACAAGTTCAAAACCAAATATTTAATGGTAATTAATTAAACAAATCATTGTTCTACTCAACTGAATTTACCCCTTTTCAGCCAGAAGAAATTTCCAGGAAAAATCCTTTTTGAAAATGTAATGAAACCATATCACACGGGTCACATATATATTTTTAAAACATTTATTCATATACATTTTGAAATATATAAAGTGGTAATCAATAAAACATGAACAGCGTGAAAGCATTACATGAAAAAATGCCCTGGGTGTAACAAAAAAAATTTATCCGGTAACTCATGTCATAACCCCATCACTTAGGCTTAATTTTGACAAAAAAGTACTGTCACAGATTGATTTTTTTTTAATTCTACATACATAAAAAATACCTAAATGTTAATTATTATTATGTTGCTAATTTTCAACTGCCGTGATTTTGAAGACCCACAGCCACAGACATGGCAGTTTGCTAATTGGAATGGCTGGAACCAGAATGTCAACTCCTGCAGGCTGCCTGGTGGTGTAGCTAAAGAGTTCTTGATAACCCAGCAAGGAAATGGTGGTAGCTGCAGATGTTTTTGGTAGTCCAAGAGAGAGTACTGAGGTAGATGGCCAGTCAAAGATGAAAGCATAAACATCAGTGCCTGATGTATTAGTTTTAGATGTGTACCTGTGAATGGGGAACATACTTTCATAAATTAAATGACTGCCAACTGTTAAAGTCATGACATTTAATTAGATGAACTCAAGAAGAGCAAAGTTGTCAGAGAAATTTTAAACAACTGCTGATGACAAGTGTTGTAAAACAAAGGTGATGGTGATACATTCAGCAAGGTCTTTTCTGTCTCCCTGTATCATTAATCTCTTGAACAGCAAATTCTAAGGTCAAATACTTGATTTCACTGGATCTGAATATGCCACAAGAGTGGCTTTATTTTTACCACCTCTCAATTTGTTATCACTTACTACTTTTGTTACTACTATCTGCAGAATGTTGCAACTGATTTGTTACTTTTTTTATTAAAAAACAATACTGACCCATCTAAAGAAAGTAACTATTCAATTTTCACATCTTGAAAATGTCTGGAGGTATACTGGCCATTTAATGCTAGATCCATATGTGTCTGGAGGTAAACTGGCCATCTAATGCTAGATCTATATGTTTCTGGAGGTATACTGGCCATCTAATGCTAGATCTACATGTGTCTGAAGGTAAACTGGCCATTTAATACTAGATCTATTTGTGTCTGGAGGTATACTGGCCATCTAATGCTAGATCTATTTGTGTCTGGAGGTATACTGGCCATCTAATGCTAGATCTACATGTGTCTGGAGGTATAATGGCCATCTAATTCTAGAACTATTTGTGTCCTGAAGTATACTGGCCATCTAATGCTAGATTCATATGTGTCTGGAGGTATACTGGCCATCTTATGCTAGATCCATATGTGTCTGGAGGTATACTGGCCATCTAATGCTAGATCCATATGTGTCTGGAGGTATACTGGCCATCTAATGCTAGATCCATATGTGTCTGGAGGTATACTGGCCATCTAATGCTAGATCTATATGTGTCCTGAAGTATACTGGCCATCTCATGTTAGATCCATATGTGTCTGGAGGTATACTGGCCATTTAATGCTAGATCTATATGTTTCTGGAGGTATACTGGCCATCTAATGCTAGATCTATATGTGTCCTGAAGTATACTGGCCATCTCATGTTAGATCCATATGTGTCTGGAGGTATACTGGCCATCTCATGTTAGATCCATATGTGTCTGGAGGTATACTGGCCATCTCATGTTAGATCTATTTGTGTCTGGAGGTATACTGGCCATCTAATCCTAGATCCATATGTTTCTGGAGGTATACTGGCCATTTAATGCTAGATCTATATGTTTCTGGAGGTATATTGGCCATTTCATGTTAGATCTATATGTGTCTGGAGGTATACTGGCCATCTAATGCTAGATCCATATGTGTCTGAAGGTATACTGGCCATCTTGTGCTAGATCATTATGTGTCTGGAGGTATAATGGCCATTTATTGCTAGATCTAAATGTGTCTGGAGGTATACTGGCCATCTTATGCTAGATCCATATGTGTCTGGAGGTATACTGGCCATCTAATGCTAGATCCATATGTGTCTGGAGGTATACTGGCCATCTAATGCTAGATCCATATGTGTCTGGAGGTATACTGGCCATCTAAAGCTAGATCTAAATGTGTCTGGAGGTATACTGGCCATCTCATCGTAGATCCATGTGTGTCTGGAGGTATACTGGCCATCTAATGCTAGATCCATATGTGTCTGGAGGTATACTGGCCATTTATTGCTAGATCTAAATGTGTCTGGAGGTATACTGGCCATCTTATGCTAGATCCATATGTGTCTGGAGGTATACTGGCCATCTAATGCTAGATCCATATGTGTCTGGAGGTATACTGGCCATCTAAAGCTAGATCTAAATGTGTCTGGAGGTATACTGGCCATCTAATCGTAGATCCATGTGTGTCTGGAGGTATACTGGCCATCTTATGCTAGATCCATATGTGTCTGGAGGTATACTGGCCATCTAATGCTAGATCCATACGTGTCTGGAGGTATACTGGCCATCTAATGCTAGATCCATATGTGTCTGGAGGTATACTGGCCATCTTATGCTAGATCCATATGTGTCTGGAGGTATACTGGCCATCTAAAGCTAGATCTAAATGTGTCTGGAGGTATACTGGCCATCTAATCGTAGATCCATGTGTGTCTGGAGGTATACTGGCCATCTAATGCTAGATCCATATGTGTCTGGAGGTATACTGGCCATCTAATGCTAGATCCATACGTGTCTGGAGGTATACTGGCCATCTAATGCTAGATCCATATGTGTCTGGAGGTATACTGGCCATCTAAAGCTAGATCTAAATGTGTCTGGAGGTATACTGGCCATCTAATGCTAGATCCATATGTGTCTGGAGGTATACTGGCCATCTAATGCTAGATCCATACGTGTCTGGAAGTATACTGGCCATCTAATGCTAGATCCATATGTGTCTGGAGGTATACTGGCCATTTTATGCTAGATCCATATGTGTCTGGAGGTATACTGGCCATCTAATCGTAGATCCATATGTGTCTGGAGGTAAACTGGCCATCTAATCGTAGATCCATATGTGTCTGGAGGTATACTGGCCATCTTATGCTAGATCCATATGTGTCTGGAAGTATACTGGCCATCTAATCGTAGATCCATATGTTTATAGAGCTTTCAGCACTCAATGACATCAGCTGCCTTTACTGCCTATTTTTCCAGGTACTCACTAAGGGTCAGGTTAACTTTGAAGCTCAGGTAAGTTAAAAAGATCTGTCTTAACTGGTATTTTATCCTGGGATAAATCGACTGAAAAACAAGCAAAACTGACATTTGAGACTGCAAGTGTATCTACTTTCAAATCAGAGTAAATAGTAGTTAAGTAAAGGACCATTTTTACATAGGTCGCACATTGGACATATGATCCTGGTGATTCTGGACTTCTACTTTTATAGACCAATCAGCACTCAGTGGGTGTTGTGTTCAACATCGCATCAGTCGCCTTTACTTTCAAGGACATTACTTGGTACTCATTTTAGGTTGTGTCAACCTGAAAGCCAAGGCTGATTTATAAAAAAAAATTAAACATAAATCTGTCTCAATGCGGATTTGAACTTGAGACCTACAGGCCAGCATCTAGTCACTTTATTAGTATGGCTACCCTTTCTAATCAAAATTAACTTCTAATGGTTCAATATTCTGACATATATGAATATCATAATAACAGACTACTTAAACATGTAACACATTATTTTACATACCAAACACCCTGAGTCAGAGTATCATTTTGATAGCTCCATGGCTTTGAACTGTAAATACCCTCTCCGTTGACCTTCAGCCATGACCCCATCTGGCGGAGACGTTCCTCATAAATCGGAGAAATAAAACCGTGACTGGGAGGTCCAACATTCATCAGCATGTTACCTCCACAACTGTAAAAATCACAGTTTTAAACAAAACAAATATGATTAATCAAAAGATTACGGAAAATAGACTGTGAGTGGGTACCCAAGAGGTTTAGGATAATGTTCTCATAGATTTTGTGTCAAGGTATTATAACCCCTAGCAAGGTCAATCAGTTTTGAGTGGGTACCCAATAGGTTAAGATAAAGCTCTCATACATTATGTGTCAAGGTACTTTAATCCCACACAAGGTCAATGATTTTTATCTGTAAACAAGCAGTTTCACATATGTGTCACACAAGAAGAACAATCTGAGATATACAAAGTAAAGTATGTTCAAGTGTCTGTTCTATCTCTGCCCCTATCTGATTCTCCTGTTTGTGATTGTAGCTGAAGATTTTTTATTTTTTATTTACTGATAAAAACTTTGGTAAAAATGTTTGATTTTGTTTTTGCACATCTTTTCTTTTCTGCTTGTTGACATTCCTAATCATAGCTTGAGTGTGGTTAATTCATTTCAATGTTCACATTTTATCAGCTTATACAAACTCTGTCAACATCGTTGTGCTAAATGCACCCATCTGATAACAAAGTGATCCAGATTTCAGATGATAGTCTGGCAACTCTCCATGTTGGTTCCTGGGTCATAATTTTGTGAGTGGAAAAAAGAAAAGACCAACTGTCCCCTGACAAGTACATCATAAAAGTTAACTAATTAGAGTTTTTCTGAAATCAGAGATGTTAGGCTAAAATGGGCAGATATAGCAGCTTAGCTGTAAATTACAACATAAAGTACCAATATGAAAAGAGGGAGTTGTTACAAATCTCTCACTCTGTTTTAAGGCTGTTTCATTTGTGTTCTGTTTAGTTATTTTTCTACAAGTTTATGACTGTCAGTAATGCTGATAATGAGAGTGGAGTCAAACCTGACAGTGGTTATGAAAGTCTGCAATAACTCCTCAATGGTCAGATAGTCAGACAAGGCAGCGTTCCTTCTGAACCCCCAGGATCGTGTATCAATGGTCATGGCATTGACCCACTTATGCTTCTGAAGAACCCCTGCAACAGAGTGTACAGATGACCTTCAGTGATGTGTGTCAGGAGAAACAACTCTGCTCTGATTCTACTACAGGCAGATAAAACTCTAATATGAAATATGATCTTCAGAATGTTGAATTAAGAATTGACATCACAGCACTCGGGACACCCCCATAAGCACTCAGTCCCCATCATCAGCAGCAAGCGAAGAGTAGAAATTCCGATGGTACTAGTAACTGTCTGATTGTATATCCCTCTGGCCTTTCCCCTGAGTGTCGTCCATTGGCCAGATCCCCTTGTAACTCTTTGCAGTGCCATTCTCCTCAAACCATAATGATCAATCTGTGCCTCGGCACTGTTCACTTGCTCCCAAAGGGCCCTCACAACATCCAGCTTGTCATACATCAGTTCACCACCAAGAGGTGCAGAACCGGCCAGTCTATCTGCATGCTCATTTCCCAACACATCGGCATGACCTGAAGAGAATATCCAAAGGATGCTAACTACCCGGGACCATATAATCTTAAGATAATCATGTTATGACAGTTGTAACTTCATAGCAAACAAGTTATCTTACAGCTGCTCTATTCATGTGCCCCCCCCCCCCCTCCCTTTTCCCCCTCAAAGACTGGAGTCAGTAAACACAATGCAACCATTTGAATGGATAAATGAGGAGAAAAAAAAGGGGGAGCGTGGAAGGAAAACAAATCATGGCGCTCAATGGATGACAACAAGGTCATAATCAAACTGACCACTTGAACTTTCCAGAACATCTCGTGCCATTTTTTAGGCTGGGTTTAACAGGTAGTCCTAGACCAATTATAAAAATCTGCATTGACTATGATTCAAACCCAAAACAATTGGGCCACTAGACAAACATCTGGCCACTGTGGCTCATTTATTGTTTACAAAGATATTATAACAGACAAATATAATCTGCAGTGCAAGAGTTTATAATTCCTGTTAAAGTTCCTGAGTAACATAAATAATGTGAATACAAAAGTCCCACTAACCTGGGTTGTACCTGTCTCTGCATGTGAACACATCACCGTGATGACAGGAGACGCCTTGACCCCACCTGTCGTTGACTACAACAGTGTCCTTAACTGGGCTGAGAATCACATGGAAAACATTTGATCTTGTCAAGATTATTACTAGCTACTGAACATATTATACAAGTTCATATGAGGACTCCAGATTCTTGCCAACCCAAAATTCAGTTCAAATTCACATCCACATGTGTGTTACTGGCCGTCCTGGAAAGCAAAAAATAATAACTGCATCATGTAATAACCCTGTTATCAACACAGGTGCTTTATCTATTGAAATAAGATACAAGAGCAAGAGGGTACCTAAGGGAAAAAAAAATCACATTAAAGAGTTTGTACATTCACACTGAACCAACATAACCAGAGCCAGCCAACTGTAGCAACATACGGATATGAGTCGTGGACTAAGTATCTCGCAATCCTTAATGAACAAAAGAGGGGTTTTTGAGCTGAGATGACATAGAAAGATTCTCAGAATATCATGCACAGAGAAGAAAAGAAGTACCGACATCCTTAAAGATTTGAACATCAAGGAAGTTTGGCTAGTAAAAGCCTCTTGTCTGGGAAGACAAGGCGGGAGAGCTGGTCATAGACCGAGTTTCTTTCAGACAGACCATAATGAGAGTGACTTTCTGCAAAGGACCTGCTACATGATGATGAATCGAGTAAAGAGGAGATGTCCTTAACACCACACCAGCTGCCTTTGCTTCTTATGACATTTTCTGGTATTTATTTATATTCTGTCCAAGATATTCTGACAACAACAACAACAAACCAAGATGATGATATCTGTAGACAGTCTAACATTTACCTGTCTGTGTACAACCAAGCCAAGAACTCTTTAGACTTCCAGTAAGTATCATTAGCCTCATGATCCCCGTCAGACCAGACAACATCCGGCTTGTAAGTGTTCACAAGCTCGTAGAGTTCCGGTAAGGTTTTGTGCTGGAAACAATATACAGCAAAAGTGTTAACGCACTTCTAGTTCTTGTTTTTCATCTGCATTCGACATCAGCCAGGCTAAACTGGGTCACAAACGATGTGGGGGGGGGGGGAGGGATGCACACCAAGGCAGCCACTAGTGTCCCATAGAGTGTCTCGTAAGATAGCCTTATTGGGCCAGATTCCGGCCGGATCTCTACTGGGAGTAGCTATGGTATTTCTACAGTTCAACAGTATTAAAAGAAACTTTTCACACCATTAGTCGCTGTGGTGTTGTGGCTTGACACTCACCTGCGGATCAGAAGGTTATGGGTTCAGGTCCTAAGGGAGCCATACTTTTTTTAAAAATTACCTTGGCTTCCAGGTAGAAGACTGTGAACAGATTCTTGACAGTCTTTTGTCATGGCATGGAAGGGTGTCAACACACAAACTGATACACGCAGTTGCAGATTGTGGAGAGGCATGATCACCCACGCCAGTCAGCAAGGCACTTGATGATGATGATGTAGACAGTGGGGTCTCGAGCCTGGGGATTTAGGGCTACCTGGCTAGTGCTGTCACCATGGACTGTACAGGACAGGATGTTTAATTTTGCCTTTGACCGAAAAACTCTATAATATATCGAGTGTCGAAACTGGGTCTCTCGCATGACAGCTCATCATTCTAACCACTAGGCCAGCCACTTCTCATAAATATGCACATAATTTGATTTGTTAAATCTGGTGGCATACAAAATTACAGTTTCAACTGACCCATCAGGGCAGTTTTTAAGACTATTGCTGATCAGTTGGAGAAAATTGCGCTCAAAATACTACTATGAACTAGATGCAGGAAAATGTTTCTCTTGTTAATCTGATACTGAAAATCAACACAGGGACAGAGGAGGGCATGCTAATGTTGAAGGGGAAACTTGAGCACATATGAACATGTTCAGAGTGCCATAAAGATAACCCAGCTCAAAATTTACACAAATCATAGCTCAAAGGAAAAGAGTTATGGAATCATTGGTTAGCTAATCTTATTTGCTTTGGAGGTGGGGGTTTTTTAAGAAGAAAATATATTGTAGCAGGTCCTTTGCAGAACGTTGCTCTCATCAAGGTCTGCCTGAAAGAAACTCGTGTCTTACAAGCTTTCCAGCCTTGTGTAATTTCATATTCAAGGAGTTGATTATATCCTGTGCCCATCTTCGTATTTGTTGGCCCCTGTCCCTCCTTCCTGGTACCAAGCCCTCTGCTATTTTTTTTCCAATCCACCATGGTGCTTGATATGACCAAACTATTTCAGCCTCTGAGACAGGATGCTGTTAATTATCCAATCTTCCTTGATGTTCAGATCTTTTAAAATGTCAGTATTTCTTCTCTTCTTTATCCATGGTATTCTGATAATCTTTCTATAGCATTTCAGCTTAAAGGCCCCTATTTTCTTTCTTAAGGACTGGGAGATAGTCTACAACTCACATCCGTATGTTGGTATAGTCTACAACTCACATCCGTATGTTGGTATAGTCTACAACTCACATCCGTATTTTGGTACAAGGAAGATGCATGCTCTCCGAACTTTAATTTTGATTTCATTGTTGGTGCTTAACCACAGTCTTTTAATGCTGTTTAATCTTTGCATTGCTATTTCCACCATCCTTTTGATTCATGTCAGTCTCCGTTGATATTTATTATAGAGCTAGCTATTCGAAGTTTGTGATATTTTCAAGTTATTCATAATTTATTGTTATTTTTCGGTGATAGCAGTATCAACAATAACCAAAAAACAACAATTGAAGCTTACATTGACAAAATCTTGTGTCGCAAATCCAGACTGCTTGTCAGCAAGGTAAAGTGGGTTAAACCATTCAAACAGGGAGTGATATAAGCCAAACCTCAGATCTGTATGTTCTCTTGTGGCGTTCATCAGCTCACCTACAAATACAAACTTGCTAATTTTGCTACTGTTGCAAAAACTGAGTTTATATCGAACAAACAAAACTTTATGTACGTTCAAAGGTCACAAACTGGGCATGCAGGCCGATCTTACATTTGGCACTTTCAGGCATTTCTCTCTCAAATCACAACTGTATTCCATCTAAATACTTTTTTTTTAAATTTTTTGTATCCTCAATTACATTCTTACAAGTAAGTTTTAAAACAGTTATGCAAATTAAAATTAGTAGGCCTATTGGAATAAAGTTGCAAATTTCTCACCAACAATATCTCTGTTTGGACCAACAGCTAATGAGTTCCAGTTAAATGAGTATTTAGAAGGCCAGTTGGTGAAACCTTCATGATGTTTGCTGACAAATACAAGATATCTGTGGACAAAAAATTATCTGTTTATTGCTTGGATTCCCAAAAAAAATTCAGTAACGTGATTAGTAAGTGAAAGTAAACTAAAGAACCATTTTTCTGGCTTATTGGGCATATAGGGCTAGACCTATATTTTTAGAGACCAATCAGCACTTGGTTGGTGATATGGTAATCATTACAGTGGCTGCCTTTACTTCCAAGGATGATACCTGGTAAACATTCAAGGCTGGGTCGACCTGGACGGCAGGTCATGTTTAAAAAATATCCAGCTTTACTAGGACCCGAACGCACAACCTTTCTGTCCGCAGGCGAGCTTCTAGCTGCTACACATGGTGACTCCTAAAGTAGTTAGTGCACTCAATTAAACTGTGATTTATGATTCAATCCCTAGTAATGAAAAGATTTGCTTTTTTTTCAGATCAGCATTGCTCTGGTGTTTAGTGTGAGCTGGTTAAGAGGCTGTGCTCCTTTGGGAGAATAGAAGGCAGAAGAAGATGAAAGATTCAAATATTGGCTATCCTCCGAATAATGGGCACATATTATGGCAGCCGCAAAAACACCCTAAAAACGGCATGTCACATGTCAATTGCGCACTTCTGGCGACTTAATTGTGCGAACTTCTGGCGACTACCGCCACGCCACCGCCGAGAGTATCCCCCACGCCGTTCACGTGTCATGGATTGGGGCTTAACTAGATGGCTGGGACTCACGAGCAGTAGATTCCGCATCTCTTGCAGCTTTGCTCGTGAGTCCCAGCCATCTAGTTTAGCCCCAATCCACGCTCACGTGGGAGATACTCTCGGCGGTGGCGGTAGTCGCCGGAAGTCTTCAAATTAATTTGCAGGAAAGGTCGCAATTAATATGTGTCTGAGGCCCTGTTTTTGGCCGCCATAATTTGTGCCCATTATTCTGAGGATAGCCCAAATATTTTTATGTACTTATGGATTCAAATATTTATATGTACTGCAGGGTTAAGCAACAACAACAAATTCTCAAAATATTTGACACATCTATCGTTCTTGTGTTTGTTCAGCTTTGGATAAATGTATTTTTATAATTTTAAAAAGACATTAGTAAATTTACCTTGCCTTTGAAAAACACATATTTTAATAGGAACTCTTTTTTTACAAAAAAAAACATAATTATCCCAGATAATGTTTCCTTGATCTTTTTTTTTTTTTAATACCCCTATCACTGATCTAGTTATCAAAATCAAACAATGAACAATAGTAATAGCAGCAGGAGTAGCAGCAGCAGCAGCACAAGCACCAGCAGCATCACCAGCAGTATTAGCAGCAGCAGTAGTAAAAGTAGTAGCAGCAGCAGTTATAGAAGAAGTAGTAGCAGCAGCAGAAGTTGTAGCAGTAGTCAGTTTATATAAACAATATCGTGTTCAACACTCAGATTTATAAATAGAACATACAGGGTTCATTAAAAGTCTCTTGTGTGCTTTGGTTATTTTATATGTTATAAAATAATAAACACAACATAGTGTTATTACCAACTGCAATTTTTTTAAACTAAAACTGAATAAGAGGAGCAGCAGGTGTATATCAGCTAGATGATTGCCTCCCGCCTGAAGGTCTTGGATTTAAATCTTGGCTCCCAGGTTGACCAGCCTAAAATGGGTATCAGGTAATGTTCTGAAATGTAAAGGTAGTCGGGGTGATGCTGACAAAAGCATTCAAGGGGTGCTGCTTAGTCTATACATATGTGTCTAGCATCATATGCCTGCTGCACCAGTGGCATAAATAACCATAGTACTAGTAGTGTTACTAAAAGTTTATGTTATTAGTAATTTATAGTAATTAACGTAAACACAAAAGCCAAATCAAACAGGTATACTTTGCCCCTGAGCTTTGAAAAAGTTCTACCCATTCGGATGGATCGAAAAACTCAGCGGTAAAATCTTTAGCAAAATCGGCGTATGTAAAATTCGGTCTATAATTTTCCGCCATGAAGTTTACAACATTTGAAGTTGGCTCTCCCTGCCACTTCCACCAGAACCATTCTGAAGAAAAACTTGGCACAGAGAACACGCCCCAGTGGATGAAGATTCCTAGCTTGGCCTCATCGTACCAGCTGGGTAGTGGCCTAGTGTCCAAAGACTCCCAGGTCGGTTCATAACATAGGGAATTCTGTATAAAAAGCCAGAAGACGAGCTTGGTGGCTAGTTCTACACTGAGAGTTGCCATGTTTTCATTTCTAAGATAGTGCGAGGGGTTGTATACATTTATACCGGGCAATAAAAGTCATATGATGTGTCACGTGATAAAATATCATGTGATATAAACAATTTTTCAGGAGTAGTTCTTAAACCTTAAGTTGAAGGGGCAACCTGACAGTAGAAAAGAAGAGGCTGACCAACAATCGAACAATGGATACTAAATTGAGTTATATCCCAAAAATTCACCACAAATACTGGAAATCCGCAGGTCACGGGACAGTCTAATATTTCAGGGCATGTTGTATAGTGTAGTAATTTGGCATTCTATTTGCCATGCAGTTTTGTGCTGGGCAGTTTTCAGTTTAGTGTACTTTTTGTGCTGTGTGTGTTTTGTGTGTGTGTGTGTGTGTGTGTGTGCGCGCGCATTTTTCTATGTGATGGTGCAATCAGGAAGGTGCAGTTTTTGTTGGTGTTTTCTTGTGGGGATGGAGGGGGGGGGGCTAGGCTGCTGCACTCTCGCGTGGGAAGTATGAGGGTTGGGGTAAGGGCCAGTTGTAGATGTTTTGGGGTCGGTTTTTGTGTGTGTGTGCTGTTTTGCAATTTGTTTGTGTGAAACTGTGTGCAATCGGACAGTTGATAATTTGGGTACTGTCGGGTGGCCCTAAAAAGGCCAAATCATTCTAGATGTATACTGCTGGGTTCACGACTTGACAATCTTAATAATTGTACACATTAGTAGATCTGGAGAAAGGTTGAAATACGGCACCTGTTGCTGCAGCGGCAGAAGATTAAGATTAGTTGTGGAAAGTGACTATGATAACGATGAGTGATTAGATTTACAAAAAGTCCATAGTATATGAGTGCCGTATTCAATCCAGTGTTATCTAGGTTTTTTAAATCAGAAGTTGGTTAGTTAGCTGAAAAAAATCTGGACAACTCAGTTGGAGCAGCCCGGTGCTTTGAAAGGCAAAAAATGTTTTTTAAAAAAAAAGCTTGGAATTTTCGAAAAGATGGTGCAAAATTCTCCCTTTCCTCTCTAACCTCAGAAACCAATGGAATGTTCTTTGCTAGAAATAATCACAGCTGTGGAGAAATATGGCGATCATTGTATCGTTTGCTTTAAATACAGTGTTGGTTAACCCCTACCACAGAATTTTGTTTCCAGGTCGTCACTTCGGCTAGTTCTGCTCGAAATCTTAAAACTTGGCGGTCCTAAAATTTACAGAAGTGCCATTTATCAAACATTGAATGCATGTATGTATGTATGTATGTATGTATGTATGTATGTATGTATGTATGTATGTATGTATGTATGTATGTATGTATGTATGTATGTATGTATGTATGTATGTATGTATGTATGTATGTATGTATGTATGCATGCATGTATGTGTGTGTGTATGTATGTATGTATGTATGTATGTATGTATGTATGTATGTATGTATGTGTATGTATGTATCTATGTGTGTGTGTGTCTGTCTGTGTGTTTGTGTGTATGCGTGCAAGTGGGGCCTTTGTCTGTATGTATGCATATGTACACGCACGAGTCTGTTTAAAAAATGGAAAGACAAAATTATCGTTATACTGAAAGGTGGGTTGTGCCTTAATGTGCAATTAATGTCAATGGTATAAATGTGGGACAAGTACTCCGACTCAAGTATCTAAACATCAGGATAACTGCAAATAGACGATTTATTTAAAGATAAAGAATTTAGCAAGAAAATATAAAATATTAATATAAAATATTATAGTGCATACCACGTATACCAAATTTCACATGTAGTTATTTTCTGCTCTAGTGCCATATTCATTGTCCATGTCTGATAACATAAAGTAGGCATACAGATGCTGTTAATCATTTGCTGTTTTGCTCGAAGGAAGACAGCAGTGTATACCACGGTTATAGTTCAATCACCCGGCAGTAAAGAAGTAAGCTTCAGTTCCGGTAAGTGAATTGTTCTGGTGTAGAAAACAAAGGAAGTTAGGCCACCAAGCTGGACAAATACTAAGAGACAAATACACACATTTGGAAGATCAAAACATGAATTAATGACATCAAGGTCCCACTGCTTAGAACTTCGATCACATACAGAGGCAGATTTGTCTGCTATAGGGAATGGGAGCTGAAGTGGGTCATAGTTGCCTATCCTTTACCGGAAGTTGCAGAACTAACCCCAGCATATTTTGGCTGTTGTGGGTTTTTTTTTTTTTTTAGGCAAATTTAACGTTCAATAGTTTGCCATTGACCTGAACGGTCAGCTCGGTATCACTGTCGAAACCAACGCAAGACAAACCGTCCGCAGTTGGGAATGAACCCAGCACCCAAGCATTACGAAGCGTGTTCGCAACGCCTAAGCCACAGATGCCGACAACATTGGGGTGTAATTATAATAAAAATCAAATAACTGTGGTAAGACGAGTTGACTTTAGATGAGTTAAAATATATATTGCAGTACTCGGAACATTCCCACAGGTGTTCCGTTCCCATTTTCAGCAGCAAGCGAAGAGTTAATATTCCAATGATTCCAATAAGTCCGATCCTATTTATGTCTCGCCATTCACCTGAGATTTAAGTGTTGACCAGACCAGATCTCCTGGTCATTCCTCGCTGGACCAGACTATGATTACCTGTTTTATTTGTTTGCCTCCACACTGTTCATTCGCTCCCCAAGAGACCATGAAATGCCTAGCTTGTCACGCTCTAATTTACCACAAGTAATAATAAACCCATCTCTCTGACTGTTCGTTTCCCAGCAAACCTGGATGATATTTCCAAAGGATGCTAATTCATCTGCATCCCTGAAGCCATGCAACACCTGCTTTGAACTACTCAACATACTCTGTGAGTCAGTTACAACCACCACATGTGTGTGTAGCTGGTTCTCAATCCAGTGAAAGCTTATAGTGACTGCCTCCACCTCCATTCAGAAACTAGATGCTGTGGTATCGTATGTCAGGCTTTTTTGCATTTAGCGGCGTCCTTTCACTTGAGCTGTGAACCCGTATGCACTTCTTCTGCCCCTCAACACAGCATAAGTAAAGAATCTTCTGTTTACCCTATGAAGTTGGATAGCCTCACCTGCACAGCACTGCAGGCTACACCTGGCTCATGACCTACTTTAGAGTATTTGACCCTATATATACCTACCTCTAAAGTAGGTCATGAGTTGAAGATGTAGCCGTTATGGGCGCAGAGGTTATAACTTCTTTGGACACTGATCGGGGAATCTGGGATTTGCGGTGTTGGTCTGCCATCCAGGGTGAGATTTTGCATTCGCGGGGTGACCAACAAGGAGGAGAAAAACGGAAGCGAACTCAGGGAGGTGTATTTGGTATATGGCGCTGATCAAAAATTCCTAGACGCTATGGATAATGTAATTAATATCACATTGGATGCTTCAGCTTCCATGAGATTTCAAGGTCATTCTACAAGACTGAGTTTCATGGAACCCCAGTCAATTAAAAATATATATATATATATACCTCTAACAGGTTTGATTCAGAACTTCCAGCCAGGCAACCTTGAGGGTTGTGCTTGTGTACATACACACACTTGAGTCGCCATGGCATGGCGGCTAGATGCTCGCGTGCAGATCGGAAGGTCTTGGGTTCGCTCCCTGGTGGATCCGGATTTTTTTTTTTTTATGACCTAGACTCCCAGGTCGACTGTCACATACCGCTCGTGTCGCGTGCCTGATTTAAGGATTTCTAAGAACCAACAGTACTCTGAAATAATAATTTTGAGGCGTTGGCTCGTATTGGTCTAAGGGAGATCCCGTGGCCAATATACGCCCAACTTATTTCAGGAGTAGGGCAACTCAAGCTCTAGCACTACAGAATATCTAATATTCCTAGGCACACTTGGCTGGACGCCCCCACTACTACAAAAAGCTAGCTCCCAGGTTATGATAGTTTACTATCATAGCCATGTTAACACAGATTACACTTATTAATCACACAAACATAAAACTAGACAGTTAGAATGGTGAAACAGGGACACAAAAGTCAGCCATGAAAATTTCTGAGAATGCATGTAATATTTTCAATATATACATATATAAAAATATCAAGACAATCAAGATGATTTCCAGTGAAAGAAGTTCATGACTTAACGTCACAGCAATGATGTTGAAACAGCCAGAGTCAGTTCTTAAACAAGTACATATTTCATCACAGTGAACTAAAGGTGAGCATGGACAGAGAGCATGTAGGTGATCCTAGATGTACTTAACCAAACTGATAGGTCTCTGTTCCTCTCAGTCCATGGTGACTTGAACCGGCTGACTCAATAGATTGCTTTTCTCTCTGGTTGATCTGGCACCCACTGATCATCTCACATATAAGGACAAAGGAACTACACAGGAGCCCAACACAGCTCCTGAAGAAGACTTCCTTGGATTGATGACACAGGTGGCCTGTAATATTGTCTCTCAGCCATTGGAACTCACACACAAGCTCCTGAAGAAGACTTCCTTGGAATGGTGACACAGGTGGCCTGTAATACTGTCACTCAACACATGGAACTCACACACAAGCTCCTGAAGAAGACTTCCTTGGATTGATGACACAGGTGGCCTGCAAGACTGTCACTCAGCCCCTGGAACTCACACACAAACTCCTGCCATGTTGATTTTCTGCCAACAATGGGTAGGGTTTTGGGTAGGATTGGTGATAGGAAAGGTATGGGATGGTGATTGTTGGTTATGGGTTGGTGATTGCTGGTTGGACTGTGATTTGTCTGCCTGACTTCTAAGGAGATTTCATCCCAAGCTTAGGAATCCTTCAAGGATTAAACTGGTACTTTGAAAGCGTCAAAGTTTTGGAGCGAAATACAGTCTTCCGACATCTCAGAAGTTTGGCACAAGAATGCCCGCTCAGACTGAGCTTGGCGTCTCTAGGAAAGAAGTCCCTGTATTCGTGCCCAAGGAGTAAAAAGGCTTACAGAAATTTCTGAATTATACTCAAGAAATATTCATCCCACAGTTGCAAATTTGAAAATGTATACTACTCAAAACAACTAGAGGGTC